CAGGCTTGCTTGTCTCCAGGGACCTTGAACGTTATACCTGGGTCAGCTGTCTCCTGCCGCCTCAGACAGTCTGGCCTTGGGGCTCTGCAGATCTGTGCCCCTTTTTGGAACTGTTCTTTTATCCAACTGGTTTCTGTCAGGAGTTGGAAAGTTAGGTTTTAAATCGGTAGTCAAAAATCAAGAGGTAAAGAAATGTACCTCGTGAAGAGGTGAATGTGAGCTCTTGCTTTGTCATAGACAGGCTTATAATTGTGGAGGCCTGTCCAGCAGGACCTTGGAATTTCTCCTCAGGAAGGTCTGGGGAGTGAGGGTGGGAAGCACATCCACATGCTACAGCTGAGTGGAGCTGAGGGCCTTTGGTATGTACTGTGCTACAGAAAACTGCTGAGCATGTCTCCTCTGAGGAGAGGCTGGGAGCTGGGACTCTTCAGCTGGAGGAAGAGAAGGCTTGGGAAGATCCTATTAATATGTATACCCACCTGAAGAGAGGGTATAGGGATGAGAGAGCCAGGCTCTTTTCACTGGTGCCCGGTAATGGGCACAAACTGGAGCACAGGAGGCTACACCTGAGCAGGAGACATTTTCTTCCCACAATGAGGATGACTGAGTACTGGAGCACATTGCCCAGACAGGTTATGGAATCTCTGTTCTTGGGCATATTCAAAAGCCATCTGGATGTGGTCCTGGGCAACTGTCTCTAGATGGCCCTGCTGGGGCAGGAGAGTTGGACCAGATGTCCTCCAGAGCTCTCTTCCAACATCAGCCTTTCTGTGGTGCCTTTACCTCAAGGTCTTTGGGTGACAGTCTTTGCTGGGGAAGCAAACAAGCTAGATCATAAAGGCAAGGAGACATTTAAAGTCCAGGACCCCCCAGACTTGTGACACACTGACATTTTTCCTGCTGTCACTAGGGAGCAAGCCCGTGAAACGCAAGACCAACAACAAAGTCATGGCAACATCTGGAACTGGCCGACCTCCCCTCAGCATCCTACGAGATGATAATTCCCCCAGTGCTCCTACCCCTCGCCAGGTAAAGCTTAGTGAGTCATACTGTGGGAGGGAGAATGGGCTGAAAAAAACCCCACAAATCTAATTTTTGGTATTTTGTAGGCCCCCAGGCTGAAACTGCCCTATGCCTGTAGAGCCTGGTGGCTTCATAAGTATTTTTCTGTGGGTTTGTCTTGTTCCTAGATGCCTCCAAGTCTTGTTCAATGCCTGTAATTTTGACCTTAACATGATATTGCCCATTTCTGTGCACACTTTAGGCTATAAAAGGAAGTCCTTCACTCCTGGACACTATGACAAGAAAGCCAAAACTGAATGGCCTGAAAATGGGCTGTGTGTTCGCCTGAGAATGAACTAACCCTCGAGTAACTTGTGTTTTACGTTGTGTGTCTGGGGTTTTATTTCTCTAGGGTAAGAGGCACGTGTTGGGAGAGAACCTTGGGGAGAAGAAGGAAGTGACAGTGGATCTGAGCAGGAGCATCAAATCTGGGAATTGTACTTGGAGTGACTTGAACAAAGAGAACCAGCAGTGTCCTTTTGTGGAGAACTAGAGATTTTCTTTTTCCAAGATCCTGCTGTAATTTGCTTCTTGGTTTTGAGGTGACAAATCCTGCAATAGACTGGAACTCCAGATGTGTTTGCTCTCCTCACCTATCCCTGCAGGGAAAGGGGAAAGCTCCCTCTTACCTTTGCATGTCTTATCTACAGTGTAGACTGGCTTTTCGGTTGTGTATCAGCTATATTGACCTACTGTACAGTTCTTATCTGTAGCAAATTTATTAAACCTTTTAATTGTACCTATACCCTGACAGGACAGCAGGAGTCTCCTGCTTGCCCAGACCAGTGTTTTCTCTGGGGATGGATTCATTCAGGAGCAACTAATTTAGCCTTCCAGTAACACTAAAACTCAAGTGTCTCAGCTATGCTGAGAAGGGTCTGACCTTGAACCCATGTACTATAGAGTGGATTGGGGAGATGGAGCTCTGGACAGGAGACTGGTGTATCTAGTGTTGCTTCTGGAGTTCTACTGCACTTACACTGGCCTGAAACTAATGTATACAGAGGGCTGTAGCCTATTGCAAGGGTCTGGCCTGAAGGCAAGATCCAAAATAGGATGAGATAGTATTGTGCATTAATATCTCCACCTGCTGTTGCTAAGTCATACACCTTATTGACCTTTGACTCTCCCTAGCAGAGCCTTGTTAGCTCAGTGATATCCTGGGCTCCCAAGTGGAATAGGGGTTGAATATAATGGCTGCGTCCTGTCACTGAGCTCAAATCTCCAAGGTTTGCAAAGATGCCTTTTCAGCTTTCTAGTTAAACTCTAGGGCAGCAAGCCTTGAGACTAACAGCCTCTTAAGTAAAACATGGATGAGGAACACCCTCCCAGGGGACTCTGAGGTAGAGCAAGGCCTGTGGATGAGACGTTCTCTGGATGGTGTCAACAGGCAGTATTAACAGGAGGGGAGTTCTGTTTCCAGGAAATCATTGCAATGCTTGAAAAAACACAAGTCTGCAGTACTTAGGTGAGCTTGCTTTATTTGCCTGGGCTATGAAGATCTAGAACAGACTTGAAAATGGGGGTTGATGGCTACTGGTTAGACAGGGTCACCACACAACACAGGAGTGAGGCAAAAAGAGAAGGAACAGCAAGAAGCAAGGAAATAAGAATAAATATAACATTCCCTGGTATTCTGGCAGGTCTGAGGGCTACCTTTCCCCCATTTATGCATAGATAAGATCTGAGCTAAGTCCCCAATGGAAAATGAGCCCAGTTTATGCTATCTTTTTGAGGTGTGATAGAGATTTCAAATGCAGTACTTCTCTGAGGCTGCCTGCAGGGATAGAGGCCAGCTGCACAGAGGAGCTAGCTAGAGTTAAATTGGTGACAGAGTGTAGTGTGGGACGAGGGGCCCTCTGAAGGACGGGTGTCAACATGGCTAGGGGTGCTTGAGGGAAGATGCAGCGTGTCTGAACTGTACTGAAAAGTCCTGAGACATAACAACCAGTGTTTTGCAGGCATTCGAGCCTGGACGCTGCTGGGCCTGCTTAGAGGTGGAGAGAGGGGCCTGTGTGTGTGCTGCTGCTCCCCAGCTCCCCATGCTCGCCCTCCCCAACCTCTACTTTCCACTCTGGGACACCCCTACAAGTGACCTGTGTCTAGAGACAAGCGGGAGTTGTAGGTAGGCGTGTTTGTGCTCAGCTGGCGGTGCTGCTTGCGTGGGCTCGGGCTGTGGGCCGTGCTGCTGCTGCGCCTTCCCTGGGCTGCCCGATCAGTTCCAGATCTTGAGGAAGCTGTCCCAGGAGCCAGTAGCAACAGCCATGCCATCTGCTGTCACCCCCAGACAGCTCACTCTGTTGTCATGGCCAGAGAGGATCCCTATGGGGGCAAAGAAGAGAGGTCAGGGAAAGTGAGGCCTGGGAGTGATGGGGTTAGCTACACTGATGGGACATGTTGTAGGCTGAGTATCTGCGCTCCTGCCTGTCCTGCTGCCTGCTCCTGCACAACTTGTTACAGTCAGTGGCTAATAGGAACAAACACGCAGAAGAACGTCTGTGTGTGACCTACAAACACCACCTGTGGGGCTAGCCAAAGAATAATGTTCTTGGGAAGATCTGCCTAGCTGAATCCTCATGCAACTGCTTTCACCCTGGAGCGATGGTAGGACAAGGAAAGGATGGTTTCCTTGATAAAACTGACAAGTGATAATGCCATTGGTGGGCTGTGTCATAAATTTTTCAGGAGCTAGGGGCTACATCTGAAAGCAAAATGATGCTCTGGGTGTAGTCTGTGTATGACCACCATAGAGTATCTCAAGTTGCTGGAAGGAAGTCCAGGTGTATGCTCAGCTTGGTGCCTGGCCATCAAGTGGCACTGTGAGTAGCTGGAACTGGCAGATGGCAGAGGCCAGGAGAAAGTAAGAAATACTACTGGTGCTTGTAAGCAGTTTTAGCTACTGGGAACCTTAATGCTCTTTTCACCCTTGAAACAGCGTTGTTTAAAGGCTGGACTTCCTCTAACAGTAAAAAAATGATAGTTGCACAGAAGAGTGGTAGTAGGTATGGTGTGCTCCTTATCTGCAAGGAAGTTTTCTTGGGTTGCTGTCAGTATAGAATTTGAACCATTCAGGAAAAAAAATAGAGACCTCCTTGCCTTGGTAGGGACAGAAGACCTCGCAGGGAACGAAAGGGACCTCCAAGAGCCACTCACCCACACGCTCTGCTTTCAGGGAGTCCCAGATATTGCAGTTGAAGTCGTCGTATCCAGCAAGCAAGAGGCGCCCGCTGCGGGAGAAGGCGACGGAGGTGATTCCGCAGATGATGGTCTCGTGGGAGTACACGATGAGCTCCTGGTCTGCCCGCAGGTCGAAGAGGCGGCAGGTGGCGTCGTCTGAGCCGGTGCAGATGGCTTCACCGTTGGGGAAAAACTGAGGAGGGCACACACCAGACTTATCAGGCCGTGCCTTACAGATTTCCTCAACTCTTCAGCTCCCTACTAACCACCGGGAAGCCACAGAGGTAGGAAAACCCGGTGGGTTGAGACTCAAGATCATGGAAGTTGACTGTTGAAAGGGGAGACCCATGCTTCTCCTAAGACCTAGTAAACTCCCTTCCACCTCAAGAAAGCAAATGGCCTAGGGGTTAAAACTACTGCAAGATGTCTTAGTGCTTGAGGAAGGATTATTGTCTTTAACTCCAGCTGTAAGTTTGGGGCTTGACAAGCACCCACACATTATCCCTCAGATGGAATCTGGCATGATTCAGAGCTATGTGAGTCTTTCTCTGTCTGATCCTCATACCCCAACCTTCTCATACAGACTCCTTTTCAATGTCCTTCCTCTGAAGAGCAAAAAAGAGCTCCTCAGGAGCAGGTATGGCAGAAAACCATGTGGCTGGCAAGGTAGCCGTGGGACAGGTGGAAAAGCTGTGCTAACTGAAGTCAGTGGAGAGTGGTTCAAGCAGCAGACTTTGCAGGAAGCTGGCAGGCTCCTTTGGTTAGTCACAGGATTAAACTGACATGTTTCTTATCCTGCCACCTCTAGGGCTCTGGTTTGAATCCTTGACTCTGAAGGGGATAGTTGCCCCCAGATGTCTGTGCTGCCTTCTGTGAAGATTTAATCTTCAGAAGATCTCCCTGTGATCCCAAGTTACCAC